TACATGGGATACTAAGGTATTGTTAGACCGGTCCCGCCGATCCACGCAGGAGTATCCCAGGCGGAACCGAGGCGGGATCTCCCCCTCTTTCCGTGGTCGACTGCACTGCAAGCACCCAAACGATCGTTTTAGAAAGGATTTTTGAGGGTTTTGGGAGGGAAATTTGAATGTAGGGATGTTTAGGGATTTCCTTTTCATTTGTATGCATTAAATAGTTTGTTTTTCTAGGGTTAGTGCATCTTAAATTTGGTTGAAATTTGAGATATCTTAGATTTATGTTTTCTTTGGGCTCTAGCGGCGTTTAGAGATTTGGGAGAGATTGATCCTCCTCTCGAATAGAGGATCAATTGTATCTTGGTATTTTCCGTTTCCATTTCATCAAATATTACTAATTATCTACTCTTTTCCTATTTTTGTGAAGAATTCTCGCTGTTTTCTGAAGATTGATAGGAAATACTTGAGATCTTCAAGAGTTTCCTATTAAGTTTTCTGAAGATTGATAGGAAATACTTGAGATCTTCAAGAGTTTCCTTCAAGAGTTTCCTATCAAATTGGTATCAGAGCACGTCGATCGAAGGGGAACCAATGTCCGGTAGGAAAGTGGAAGTTTTGGAGGGAGAACTTGGTTAACTCAAAGCAGGTTTTGAGGTAAAGATGGTTGATTTTCAAAGACAGATTGCATCCGTCAATAAAAAGATGGAGGAAAAATTCGCCGTGGTCAAAGACATGTTGAAGAAATTGCTTGAAGCCAAAACCAAACCGGTGACATCGGAAGCAAAGGAAACTACCGGCGGATATGGAAGAGAAGAGAACCCTAACACGTCTAGGGGAAGGGAAAAATTAGAAATGGAGATCCTGGAGGGACAAGACGGAATGTCTCCTCTAGAACCTCTTTCTGGTGAGGAGATGAGCATTGGTTACGCAAGAAGAGGTGTTGAATTTTTAAGGAGTGGGGATGATTTCGATCATCGGGGTGTTGATTTTGAAAGAAGAAGAGGGATTTTGATGAATGGTTTGAGTATGATCGTTGGAGGGAAGATCATGACAATTGGGGAGCACCTCCACTTCGAGGAATGGGAGGTTACAGAGGATTTAAGGGAAATGGGTGTGACCCGAGGGTGAGGAAACTGAAGATGCCAATCTTTGAGGGGGAGGATGTGCACCGGTGGAATGCTGGATGAACTTTTTCACCGATTGCTTACAAGGTAGAAAGATATTTTGTCGTCAATGAGCTGACAGAGGAGGAGAGACTAATTGCGGCGGGCCTATGTTTAGAAGGGAAGGCTTTGTCTTGGTATCAGTGGAGGGACATGTGAAGACCCATACGAAGTTGGAGATAGTTCAAGGATTGTTTGGTAGAACATTTCCGAACTGGCAGGGGAGGAGACTTCTACGAGTAGTTCTTTGCCTTGACACAGGAGGGTTTAGTGATTGGACCACCTTTCTGAGACAGTGCTAGAGGGAAACTTCATGAAGGGATTGACCCTAGAGATCCGAGAAACGGTTAGAGTAATGAGGCCCCGTGACTTTGGAAAGGCTATGGAGCTAACTCAATTGGTAGAAGATAAGAGGCACCTGGAGGGAGAGACTGGAGGCAGCAGCTCAGGATGCTTGTACAGGACGACCACCACCTTATTAAAATTTAAGGAGGCAACACCCGATATTCTTCGAGGGATTTCGAAGGAAATGACTGCGGGAGGAAGACCTGGGGACAACTTCAAGAAGCTCACAGAGACAAATTACAGGAGAAGAGGATGAAGGGGCTTTATTTCAGATGTGACGAGAGGTATACGCCGGGGCACAGATGATAGGACCAAACTCTTCAGGTTCTTACCGTTTGTGATGAAGAAGGAATTGAGGGTGTCGTCTTTCCACCTTGCGGACAAGGTGGATCTTTGAGAGGGGAGTATTGTTAGACCGGTCCGCGCGGGACTGGCCGAGGCGTGATCTTCACCTCTTTCCGTGGCCGACCGCACCGCAAGCGCCCAAACGATCTTTTTAGATCTTCAAGCATTTCCTATCAGGTATCTTGGAAAGACACTTGGAAGGGAGCTATTCTTCAAGAAGGGGACTGACAAAAATATATAAATCATCATGAATGCTAGCTACGTACGTAGGATTTATAATTAATGTAAATTCATATCTGGTTATTACTCATGTGGAGAAATTTAGTTACATGAAGAAACAAAACATATTTTATTGTTGCTCTGAGAATTGCTGAGGCAGAATTTAGGGCTATGGCCCATAAAATTTATGAAGGTATGTGGCTTAAAAGTTTTCTTGAAGATTTAAAAATTTTCAATACAAGACCAATGTTAACGAGATATGACAACTAAGCTACTACTAGTATTGCTAAGAACCCTGCCCACTATGATCAGGCTAAGCATTTTGAAATTAATAGACACTTTATAATGGAGAAAATTGATCAAGAAATCATCCACGTGAATTCCACTCAAACTAAATTTTAGATTGCATATATTCTTGCTAAAAGCCTTTATCAATCACAATTTCAATCTTACTTCCAACCTAGGAATGATTAATATCTATTTCCAGTTTGAGGAGTGTGGAAATCTTGCACCTGCAGCTACCCACGCTAGAGAAGCCAGCTTGCAACATTTAACCCAATAGATACACCTCCAGCTAGCCATGCCAGTGCCAATTGCTGCCTCTCCCACTTGAAACACTCCTTGTAGGCCCCACTATTTTGCTTTGTTAGCCTTGCGACTTCTCCACCTGATAAAAAGGCCGCCAACCATACGATCTTCTAGCTCAGCCTTTTGCATCTCTTGCCTTCCATCTGTAATCTGCCAACATCTATTCCTACTGCATGTATTATGTTTTTGAATTAAGAATTCGGTGTCATTGATTAGGTTAATTACATTTTTGTTTTTCCTCTTTTTATTGGCAATATTTCACTGCTAAATATTGTTTCTATTCTACCCATCGAAATAAAAAAGTAGAATTATCATAACATATTATTCAACTAAAACAGAAGTTACTAATTTCATATTGTTATGGTCTATTTCACCTATGCGCTTAGTGGTTTGCTGCTGAAATGCAAAACAGCCATAACGAAAATGTTGGTCCTCTTTACAAGTTTATGCATTGCAATTATGCAACATGTTCAGGATAAATGCGAGGGTTCAACTTTTTACACGTAACTCTTGATTTTTTCCATTTGAGGATCATACTTTCTTCATCAGTAGCTACAACAGTTGTCATTATTTGGAGTCATCTTTATGAATCTTCATTCTTTCTTCTTTTATAATTTTTTTTCTTTTGGTTGTTTTTCCGTTTTGTTTGGCTGAAAAGCAACCCTTTATCAAGGCAACATAGCCCATATCCGTTCCACATGCAACTGGTTGGCAGGTTTAAAATTTGTATTTACCAAGGTTTTAAAAGGCGAAATCGGGAATCGAGGCGTTTTTTCTAAGCGAGGCGAGGCGTAAGCCTCGAGGCGGATCGAGGCGTAAGCCTCAAAATGAATAAAATAAATTAATTTAAAACTATAAATAATGACAAAAAATAACAAAATATTATGTCAACTATGAATTTGAAGATTTGTTTCAAGAAAATATTACTGGAATACAAGATATAAAATAAACTCACTTAAAAATAAAACATCCCCTTGGGATCAAGACCCAAAGCAGGCTCATCATCACTTTGATTGTCTTCAAAATCTTCTTAATTAATGTCAAAGTCATCCTCAAACTCTTCTTCATCTATAATATTTTTTCCTTTATCTCCTATATCAATTAATATTTCATTAGCTCTAAAATGAAACAATAGTAACATACAAAATAATTCATTATATTTAAGAATACCTTTGAATTTTTTTGAAGCTTCAATCTCACTTTGTTTCTTTCTTTTATATACTTGGGTAGTTGCTTCATTGTCTTCTTCATTGACATGAGTTTCTCCTTCTGCTTCAACTTCAAAAACATCAGCATTCTTAGGAGTAACCCATTCATCATCAGATTGTAACTCATCAACAAGCAAAGGGTCAATTTCATTCTCAATATTTCCTTGATTCTGCAATTTGAGATGTCTATCTTTCAGTTTTTTATTAAACATAACATAAACTAGTTTGTTCATTCGATCTGCTGCCAATCGATTTCTTCTCTTTGTATGAATTTGATTGAAGATGCTCCAATTACGCTCGCATGCAGAAGCCGAACACGTTAGGCTAAGAACTTTAACTGCAAAAGCTCCGAAGTCGTTGAACACGACGTAGGAAGAAGAAAACAGGAGACAAATGATGTCGAACTTGAAATCGTCGAAGTCCTCGATGTCGTCGAAGTCCTCGATGTCGTCGAAGTCCTCGATGTCGTCGAAGTCCTCGATGTCGTCGAAGTCCTCGATGTCGTCGAAGTCCTCGATGTCGTCGAAGTCCTCGATGTCGTCGAAGTCCTCGATGTCGTCGAAGTCGTCGATGTCGTTGAAGTCGTCGATCTTGTCAAAGTCGAAGTTGAAGTCGTCATCAGGGAAAGTCGGCGGGAGCAGGGATCACACGACCGAACGGGAGGAAGAGAACGAGCAGACGAACGAGAGAAAATAGGGAAAGAAAAAGAGGGAGCGGCGGTAATGCTTACAAAAGAAGCCCTAATATCTATTTACGCATGACTGGCGAACAAAAATGTTCGAGGCAGCGCCTCAATCGCCTCGACGCCTCGCGCCCTGAGGCGTACGCCTCAAATGAAAAAGGCGTATGTTTTGTCCGAACAACCGAGGCTTACGCCTTAGTTCGCCCACTTAACGCCTCGACTCGAGGCGCGGCTCAAGGCTATCGCCTCAAACGCCTTTTAAATGGTTGGTATTTACTGAATGATTTGTTGACTTTTGATTTTGCCAAGCCAAGACAACAATAGGAGTTCGTGCATCATTTTTTTTCTTATTAGTTGCTTCACTTATTTTTGTGTTATTATTCCACGTATTATGTTAACTTTAATTGAGTACAAGTTAATTTTTCAATGCAACCTCCGTGTGTTTTTTTCTAACAGATGATCATATTGTCCGCATTTTAACGAGATCCAGGAGAAATGCACAGCTAGTTTTTCCTGGTAAGAAGGTAATTTATCATTTTGTTTTTACTTTTCCTAACGAGCATGTGAGGATAAATTCAGCATCTATTGGTCATGGCAAGCTTCTGTCATACTCTTCTTTTTCTTCAAAATTATTCGTTGTAATTTGATCGACTTCTTCACAATCAGTTGTTAATGGGCGCACACAATTTTTTTTTATACCATGCTTGCATATTCATTTCATATCTATTTTTTCTAATGATTATTTGTTGAGAAATCCACCTTCGATTGGCCATAAAAGGCCTCCTCTCATGCTCTTTTATTCGTAAAAAAATCATTATTGTAATTATTTTTAAGTTTTTCTCAAAGGATTTATTATTGGTCGCACAATTTCATGGGATGCTAAATATTACACATTGCCCTTTGATTGTTTTGGAGGGCCATTTTTGTTCCAACTACATAAATTGTATATTTTAGTTATTCGACTTTTTGGATAGAGCTAAATTGTCTCATCGTAACAAATAATAGAAATTGAAGTTAGAGTTAATAAATACTCGACTTTAGATATAACATCAGTTAATTGAGATTGTGAACATTATGGAGTGAGATGATTTTTTGTTATGAATAAATTATTTTGCAATTTTTAATCTTGATTGCAATGGAATTAAATACAGTTAATTTATTTATTTTTAGCTTCTGAAAATTAAAGTTCAAAATTTTTATAATGATTTACTGATTTTTTTAAGAAAGAATGAAATATATGTTTCAATTATTTAGTTATATTCATGAATGTATTAAATCAAGTCAAATTGACAAAATTTTTACTGATATATACTATTTATATGTAACCTTAATCTCAAATCAGCGAGTTTTCTCCAATTTTTATTTTATCTATTATATTGATGAAAATAATTAAACAATTGAAATTAATATTTTATTTTTCTAATAAAATAATTTGACTAAACTTAATATAAAAATTTAGAACTTTAATATTGTTAAATGAAAAAGTAAATTCAATATATTTCATTAAAATGGAATCAAAATAAAAAATATCAAGACATAATTATTCATTTAAAAAAGTCCTCACTCTATAATTACACGATTTGAATCTATTCATGCTATACACAAAGTTATCTACTGTTAAATTTAACTTTAATTTCCATCACTTATGATGATGAAATTATTTTGGCTCCTATATAAGGAGTCTTGGGACTAAATCAGATTTTTTATAAAGTCTGGGACTAAAACGATCTCCCACAAATAGTTAGAATACCATTTTGATTCTTCTCTCTCGGAGAGAGAGAGACCTTTCCAAATAATTTGATAACACAAATTTCTTTTCTATTTTCTTCTTTAATACTTTATTAAATTCAAGTTACAGAAATGGAAATTAAGAGTTTTATCTTCATTGAAACTAGATAGGATTAAAATTCATCGAATTATATCATCTTTAGCTTTAGATCTAGTGCTTCAATGACTTTTCTAACAGGCAACTCAGACATATGACATTCCATTATTTGTGTATTGTGAATTGGATAAATCAAATGAGATTATAAATGGATGTATAACATTTTCAATTTTTTAATCCTTAAACATTTGATCAAGTACGTAAATTTTTTTTCTAATAAGTGACTTAGACAATGTAATTTGAGCTTCCATTATTTGCATATCATATGCTGTTCAAATCAAATGAAATTATGAATGGATGTTTAAGATTTTACATCGAATATGACCGATGAGTTTAATTTTCTATATGTACATTACTAATAAGGTTTTCTGATGTCATATTTAGTTATTTTTTTATTTTTGATGCATAATCAAACCATTATAAAATCTGTTGAAATTTAATTTCTGCAAGGCTAAGATCAGTGGTTTTGATATTTCGATTAATATCCACTGGATTGGAAAACGTTTCTTTTTTTTTCAAGTAGTATGTATGTTTATTATTATAGTAATACAGCTGAGTATGTTTATCACATAAATAGGATGGGTACTTTGTTGAGATTTTTTTAAAAATTAGGGGTAAGCTTCAAAATAGCCCTTCTGAGTCTCCAACTATTTCTATTAGCCAATTTAGTCTTGCTCCAATTTAGCCCCTTCAATTTGAATAGTCAATATATTAAATTGAGATCTATTTTATATCACAATTATAATATGATGGAGCATTTTGGATCAATTTTATGTAGTTGAGATTTTTCTGTATTATTTTATATAGATATTTTTTATGTCGACCTAATATACAACAATGATCGAAAGCCCATATCCATCATGTGGGGTCAGCCACATGAATTGTTTTCCTACTTGTGTCCCAATACCTGTGCTATACTATACGTTGTTCATATCCGAGTCCACGAACCCCCTATGCCGATGCATGTGAAGACTGATCCCCCCTCGCTCCGTTGCTCTTGTTTTTTAGCTCGTGCTTGAACCCTAGATAGTGTAGAAGCAAGAAGGTTGCTTGGAGCTTGCTGGTAGAAGGGTCAGCAAAACTAGTAGCTCATGATAAGGGATGTCACATAGGGAGTTTATTGGAGAAGGCATTGACATCCAATTGTAGCTAAGCGGCTGTCCGCATCTTCTCCCTCTTCTCCTCTCACGCTCTTTCTCTCCTCCCTCTTTCCTCTCTCTTGACCTGTCTATCTCTCCTCACTCTTTGCCCCTCTCTTGTTCTCTCTCTCTTTCTCTATCCTCTCATTTGTACACTCTCTAATTCTTTCTCCCTAACTCTTTTTCCATCTCTCTTTCTATCTCTCCCCTCTCTTTCGCTCTATCTCTCACTCTCATTCTTCCTCTCTTTTTGTCCTTCTCACCTCACTATGTAAGATCCAAAATTTTCAGGTATGTAAAATTTAAAATTTATTTAAGCCTATTCTAAAACTTATTTTAAAAATTAATGATATTTGGAATTAAATTAAGTATGTCTCTAAAAAGAGGGAAAGCAGAAAAAAAGTAAGGAAATAAGAAAGACAACGAGAAAAGATAAAATAACTTGTGCATTCAATTTCATCACCTACCCCCATTGTTTTCTTATTGTGATCACCTTGTGCGTAAAGATGTAAACTTAAAAATAGTTGAAATTCTCAAAATTTTGATTGCTATCCTTTTGGTGCCACAAGAGAAACCTGTGCATACTTTTCTTAACATGATAGGTGAAACTTATATGGAACGCTCGCGGTGCAATGTATAAGCCTTGTGGACGCTTTTTCTCAGCACAATGAGGAAAATCAGGAAATTCAAACTTAAGCACTCATTTGCATTATTCTAATGCGGTGGGGGAATACTATAAATTTTACATAGGCATATGAAGACTTGGTGCACATTTTTAAGCATGGTGGGATAGAAGGTTCCCTAGTTGCAGTGTCTCATGACATCATCCATGCATGCTTTCTTCAGTGTGGTGGGATGCCTTACACTCAGGAAGACATCCCTTATGATTTGAGACATCGAGAGGCTACTAATATATACATAATAAACAAATATGAAATGAACGAAATCAACATGAACTTTTTGCATTTAATAACATGACCAAAATTAAAGATACATTATAAATTTTTTAAAAAAATGCGGAACAGCTAAAATGCAATATACGTCGCATCAAATGCATAGCAAGGATGAGAACTAAACACAAGATTGAACATATAAATGGATTTACAAGATAATAGTAATGAACTTGAAAGCTCGCTTATGAATACTAAACCTCTCTACAACACTGAAAAACTATCCCGAACACCAAGAAACTCTAATAACAAACTTGATAAATTGAATTTGGAATGAAAATGAACTCAAGTGAGCTCTTATTTATATATGAAAAGAGCGACTACCTGTGTGGCCCATTTGAGTAAAAAAACAAAGTCACATGCACATTCTAGTGACAATCCGTTCACATGAACAATTACTACATCAAGTTTTGATAAATATCAAATAGTTGCGTTCACATGAATTTGCTGTTAGGGTGTAAATGAGTCGAGTAGAGTATGTGTCTTATCGAGTTAAGCTTGTTTAATTCTTACGTTGCTCACACTCGAACTTGAGCTTGGCTCATTCGTAAATTATTAGGCTTGAACTTGACTCGATTGCTCGATCTTGTTTAAAAAGCTCAAACTTGATTCATTTATTGAGCTTGATTGTTCAATTTTAAGTAAAAAATTTTAGTTTGTCTAAGAATGTTATTTCTATCACGTAATTAAACTGTGTTTAATTATGATAAAAACCTTAACTAGTCATAGTATGTACTAAATTGTTGACCTCAATTCTAATGTCGGGGTTGAATTGAGTGCAGATGATGAATTGCAAAAAAGCGAATATTGTGAAGCTGAAAGAAACTTGCCTGACACAACTTGGCCAAAAACTCAAATCGCCGAAATAACCTCCATAGGCTAAACGGACAACGCCGGGGCATTTAGGACAACTGAAATAGCTATGTTTGATACTTATATTGGCTCGGGTTGTCAATCAACAAAAATTGTAATTTTGTGCTCACAGGTCGAGGTGGACCCGACGCACGTGAATGACAATGAGGTGATAAGTGAGTCGAAGTGTGATTAATTTAAACATATTCATATCAATTTTATATTTAAAATTAATTAAACTATAACAATAAAAAAGTTGAAATAAAAAATTCTTAAATCTAAATAATATAGCCCTAATTTTTCCTAATTTAAATATCTCACATTCACTCACACTCCCTCATTAATACCTAACACCCCCTCTCAGGACTCAAACTCGTGCATATGAGAGCCTCAAGTGACCCATCTCCCCCCAGCTCTGTCTTTAATTCACACGCTAAGGAGGACGCCATCATTGTCCTCCTGTCATCGCCATCGCCATTGTATCACCGTCACTGCTTTCACCATCATGCACTTTGAGCTATAACCACACTTGTATTTTATTTTATAGATTGCAAAAGTCCTAAATGCGATGCAACGAGCGGAACTTGTGCATGCTTTTCTTAACTGGTGGGCAAAACTCATTGGCAACGTGTGTAATACGGCGAGTTGTAACCCTAAGTACCCATAATTGCCTTTCTTGACACATGTGAA